GCTTTCCACACAATTGCCTAAATCAAAATAAGTTTGCTTCTCTTAAAGTAAGTTGCAAGTATCTCAAGATAAAGCTGCTGAAAATAGTTATGTCATTCAAAGAAGACCTATTATATAGAATTCATCATTTAAAAGAAAATATGCATACACTGAAACAAACACTCTTAAAGACTACCAGAGATTAGAAAATGATCTGAGTAAAGCTTTCTGAACAGAAATACTTATGTCACCAGTCAAATATGCTTCATGCTTGAGAACTTGCTAATGAAGATATGTAGTACAAAATTTGGCAACCACCTTACCTGTGAAATTCAATGCATTGATAAGAGAACAATAACGCACTAACCAGACAACAAAGAAATTGGGTAGCAAAACTTGATTTACAGCAAAACATTATTTCAAATAAAACTAACTATAATCTTTAATGGATCTGTATCGTGACTTGTGAGTACAAGATCTCATGACATTGATTATGGTATACAAATGCCTACAGTCAACACTTCATCTTTCTTTTGTCTAGTCATATCTTTTGAATCGTAGGTATATGCTAAGGAATGCCGATTTGTATTCAAAATATTCGTGCCATGGTAAATGGCATGCACTCTAATTTAGTATGCAGTATAACAACAGCAGAAGTAGAAAGACTTACCCCCATGACCATCATAAACACCAAAGAATGAGGTGGAAGCATCAAAATCAGTAAGCTCTGCATGCTTGAGAAAAAACAATAAGACCATAGGTCATTCAAGGTAGTGAATAATGCATCTCATTATTACAAAATTACAAAATTTGCATTATAATGTTATACAACTATCTTCCCTTATTTTCTTTCTTGCACTGCTACACTCATAAGCTCCCTCTCTCGAGCAGCCTAGGTGCTCATGCACTCTATTAAGAAAATGTCTACATTGATCAAATTACCAAATTGAAATTACAAATTGCCTACATCGATCTCGAGCAACCTCTCGCAACATTGTTCAAATTACCAAGTTGAAGTTATTTATTAATAAAATAGGCTCTGATTTTTGTGTGAAAAAGGGATTGTTTGTAGTCTCTGATTTTTGTGTGAAAAATGGAGAAACAAAAGATTTTAGGTAGGAGAAAGAGAAATAGAAACGATGGTTACGTGTTGAAATTGAAATAATTTTGAAACTATTAAAATCGGGATGGGATGAAAGAATGGAATTCAACACTATTGTAGATATTGCATCTCTAGAGATTAGAAAAGGCATGACCATAACGTATGAAAATGGAGAATGAAAAAGTTAAAAAAAAAAAAAATGATGTCATTTTTTCTCTTGTATAGTAACTTGGGATTGGTTTACTATTCACTACTTCCCATTTTTAATAGAAGTTAGATATGTGATAGTTTTGTGAAAAAAATGTTCTTAAATGAGTTACTCACTCTTAATTCTTTTGGTTCCAAATAAAAACTCAAATTTTCGAATGCTCCTCTTCACTAATTATTATTTTTTTCATTTCATTTTTTTTACTTTTGTAAAGTTCAATCTTCCCCCAGTTGGGGGGGGGGGGGGGGGGGGGGCGGATCATAAACTCTTAAACCAAATAAATGAAATAAGAACAAAGTTGAATTGATTGAACATTAAATTAACATGAAATAAATTTCCGTCTATTGAAATTCTGAGTATTAGAATGCTTCAAACAACAAATGCTAAAGAATGAAAGAAAGAAGTTCGATTAAGCAATGTGAATTTTACTAATCTTGTTGGCTACAATTATTCTTCTTACTTGATTAACTAATGAAACCGCATCAAATTCTGTTTTGCATTCTTCGAAATCCAATATGATTCCCAACACATAAATCACATATAGGCCACCATTACCTATAATTATATTCATGTAGTTTTTTCTATCTATTAGGATTCTAGTTAAGCACAAATGAAAATAAAAACTAATGGAACAATTTAGAGTTATATATTTTATTTATGTCTATTTAAGTAAATTTACATAGGATTTAAAATATAACAAAAATTTTAATTTTTAAAATTGGATGTATATTTAAAAGGTGTAGATGGAAATAACTGAACCTAAATTAAATCAACCACCTCTTATCTCTATAACAACTCTCCCTCTCTCCATAGAGACAAAACACACACACTCTCGCCCCTCGGGCACAGCTTAACTGGTGGATCAATCAACATTGACTTGCTTCCAGCGGCAGGGTGGAGAGTTCGATTCCCAGCGGGAACCTGCGGCAAAAAATTTGGTATGCAGCAATCACTGTGGAGGAGGGTCTCTTGTGCGCAGAAGTGTACAGTCAATGGGGAGAACCTGTGATCCAGTTGAGGTATAACCCGCGATTTACCCCCTCTAAGGTTCTAGGGGCATGGGTCTTGGAGGTCCAGGATTTAAATTTTTTTTTTTTTTAAAAGTGATAAAACTAAAGAAAAAAGAAAAACACAAAAAAAGAAAAAAAGAAAAAAAAAAGAAAAGAAAAACACACTCTCTCTCTCTCTCTCTATATATATATATATATATATATAAACACACACACACACACATATATACACATACAATTTCATACGGTTTTTGCACAGATTCATTCTTTTTATCCAGAATCTCTCTTGCTTCAGTCATTAATTTCACCTTTCAATCTATAGGTTCTTTTTCCCCTGATTTTATCAATTTTATAAATAATGCTTTATATTAAGAAAAGTTACAATAAATCAACTATGGATGAATTGAAGATGGAGGAGATGTCGCTTCTATAGTTCTGTTCGAATAGGCTCTTAAAATTCATGAAGCCGCATCTAAATCATCCGACGATGAGATTTTTCTCTTTATTCAGTTTTTCTTTTATAATATCAATTATTTTTTGTTTAATTTCAATTATTTAGAGCTTTTATTTTTGTATTTTATAATAGACAGTCGTCGTTGCTTCCTATGTACTGATCAGCAAAGGCGATAGGTGGTCGTTACTGCTTCATATGTAAGGGTCTGTAATGTATATATGGCTATTTCTTCCTGTGTGCTGATTTACAGCGATGATGGGAGATTTGTGCGTATGCATACTGATCTTTGTGTGTGGTGCATTTGGAAAGGTGATGATGGGATGTGGTGTTGATTTGTGTGTGGTACGTTTACAGGCAATGGTGAGGTGACATCAATGTTTTTTAAGTGGTGGTGAGAGGAACATATAGGATAAAAAGTGGTTGTGAACAATAAAATGAATAAATTAAAATTAATAATAAATATTATGTGACTTAAAATTATGTGATTTGTGACTAAATTTATAATCGTGGCTTATGATTTTTGTTTTCATGATCAATAAATAAGTTGTGATTTACTAATTTGATAATTTGTGATTATTTAGATAAGTTGTAACCAATTATTTTGATAATTTGTGATCGAGATATAAGTTGTGAATTATAAAATTTGATAATTTGTAACCGTAAAATAAGTTGTGAATTATAAAATTTGATAATTTGTAACCGTAAAATAAGTTGTGACCTATAAAATTTATTATTTGTAGTAAAAAAATAATACATTGCATAATAATTTGATAATATGTGCCCAATAAATAAATTATGATCTATAAAATTTGGGATTTGTGACAGAAAAAATAATGTGTGATTAAATAATTTGATAGTTTGTGATTGATAAATAAGTTGTGATTTATAATTGTCACATTCTGTGATTGTGATTAGTATGTAACTGTGACTATAAACAGTATGATATTGTAAATTTAATATATTTAATTATCTATTTAATTAATAAAATATTTTAAATTATCTATTTAATTAACACTACATGATTTTTGGAATGAATGTATGACCAATTCTATATTTAAGGGAGAATCGTTTTAAATATATTTCATTATATAATATACATATATTATATTTATCTAATATATAATTAATATCTTATTTATGACCTGAATTTTGAAAATTTAAAATAAGTTTCTTAATTTTGAATTGACTTCTTGATATTACCTTATATATGTATTTTTTTCACAAAAACAAAAAACAAAAACAAAAAATAAAATAAATAAATAAATAAATTTTTGAGCCCAACAAATATTAAGTGTGCGTTTGATTGCAAGTATGAAATTTGCATGAAAAGAAAATAAATTGAATTGTCTAGAATTTATTTGCATGAAAATTATCGATTAAATATATTTGATTATTTTAATTTTTAACACAGAAAATATTATACTTGTCCATTTTTTATTGGTGGTATATGAGAGAGAGTGGATAGATGAGAGAGAGAAATAGATAGTGAATTTCTTAAAATATAAAATCATACTCCTCCTAAAAAAATATTTTCCTTAATTTTGAGAAAAATTTGGTCACGTGACCAAAAATAGGAAAATAATTTCTATGGAAAAAAATATTAATCAAACAATACAAATTATGAAAGTAGGAATTTGGATGGAAAAGAAAAACATTTTTTATAAATGATATTGACAATCAAACTCATACAAAATTAGCTCAAATTATCTAAGCTCATGAATTATATCCAACAATTCTAGGATTTTAACGTTTAGAAAAATCAAAACAAAATTTTCATAGAGTTGCAAATTATTTACGACAAGCCCGAGCCTCTTCCTTCCAATAATAGTAGTATTTATGATCTTAAGCAACTTGTATTTTTAAAAATATGTATAAATTTCAAAGAATCCATTATTATTTTTATTTATTAGTTTAGAATACTTAAAATAATATTAAAAATTGAAAACAAATAATTTCGAATATCCTTCGCATAAGTACGCATGTGATCGTAATGCTTGATGGTCGCCATATAATACATCAAGTATTTTAGAGCCTTATTGCATATACACACGGTTCACATTCGTCATTTTATACGTGCGCGTTGCGTAACCCAATCCAGTTAGGCCACGTTGAACCTGTGACAGCAGATTCTGCGTTGTCAAATCCTGATTGGTCCATTCATCCTACTATGCCACATCAGATCTAAGCCCCGAGTTAACATCAGTGTAAACCCAGCTTAAAGCCAGTTTCACGACTCACTCACCTGTATAAATAGCTTCAGTGTATTTTACGCTCAGTCTCTCTCTATCTCTCTCTCTCTAAAAGAGCCGGGGGATTGTACAGAGAAGGGCACCAATGAAGGGCCGTGACTTTCTCTCTCTAGCCATTGCTATCTCTCTGCTTCTGGCTATTTCTACTGCTGAAGTTTTATTCGAAGAACGCTTCGACGGTAGTCTTATCTCTCTTTAATTAATTGAAATCGGAATAATTTGTTAATTGTGATTCAATTTGCCGTCATTTTGATGAGTATTCTTTTGTTGATGAATATTTTGATTAATTTGTGGATGATCGAAGTTAATTTATGTTGTATATATCGATCTGATTGTTTTGAATGAAGGAATGTACTTAGGTATAAATGCGTGTGCAATGACGACGCTTTGGTTTAGATCTATGGAATCTCTCTCCTTTTTTGTTAATTTAAACGTCAAATTTACTAAGGTTTTGAATTTTTGTGCTTTGATTGTGAAAATGCTGAATTAATTGCAATGAGGTGTGTGATAAATTCCATGTATGAGCTGTGATTGGACCTAGTCTTTTGTACGTGAATCTTTAAATTTATGGTATGTTGGACGATTAAACGTGGATTCATGTCTTGAGCTTTTGTTTGATCTATTAAAAGTAGAATTATCTCTCTTTAATTAATTGAAATCGGAATAATTTGTTAATTGTGATTCAATTTGCCGTCATTTTGATGAGTATTCTTTTGTTGATGAATATTTTGATTAATTTGTGGATGATCGAAGTTAATTTATGTTGTATATATCGATCTGATTGTTTTGAATGAAGGAATGTACTTAGGTATAAATGCGTGTGCAATGACGACGCTTTGGTTTAGATCTATGGAATCTCTCTCCTTTTTTGTTAATTTAAACGTCAAATTTACTAAGGTTTTGAATTTTTGTGCTTTGATTGTGAAAATGCTGAATTAATTGGGATGAGGAGTGTGATAAATTCCATATATGAACTATGATTGGACCTAGTCTTTTGTACGTGAATCTTTAAATTTATGGTATATTGGACGATTAAACGTGGATTCATGTCTTGAGCTTTTGTTTGATCTATTAAAAGTAGAACGTAAATATATAACATGCGGTTGTATGATCACGGGTGATGGTGTAGCCCATTTCACGCTACATTTCCTTTGAAAATTACGGCAGAATTATAACTGGATATTCCTTTTGAGGAAGCTCAGATACATTTACGTAGTGATGACTTTACAAATCATGCATATGAAAGTAACTTTTGTATGATTTATGGTATTCTTGCTCCCTGAGGAGGAGTGATAGTAACGAAATCTTTTCAAAATTATAATAAGTAAAGGAGCAGAAAGTAACAGAATATCTGTAATGGAGAACATAATTTGTCTGGTGCAAAAGTGCAGGGCTCTGTTTGCTTTTGGCCAAGTGACATTTCTCTATTCATAATTTGGAGTATTTCTTGTTTTGTCAATATATAAAATTGTCCAAAAAGAAAAGAAGGCATAAGATTCATTATGTTTTTCCTTTTGTTGAACGAAAATTTTAACTGTTTGGATCTGTTGTCTTGTGCTGATTTGTACCTTTGTTAAATTTTGAAGATGGATGGGAAACCCGTTGGGTTAAATCCGAATGGAAGAAAGATGAAAACATGGCTGGAGAGTGGAATTACACCCCTGGCAAATGGAATGGAGATCCAAACGACAAAGGTAACCTTTTTATCTTGCAATGTTCGTGTGCAACATATATTTACATAGTTATTTACGTATAATGGAACTCAAAAAATTAAAGCCTTGTTAGCATCTATGTCAAAATCCAGGTATCCAAACCAGTGAGGACTATAGGTTTTATGCCATCTCGGCTGAGTTCCCTGAATTCAGTAACAAAGAGAAGACCTTAGTGTTCCAGTTCTCTGTTAAGCATGAACAAAAGCTTGACTGCGGTGGTGGGTATATGAAATTGCTGAGTGGTGAAGTTGATCAGAAGAAATTTGGTGGTGACACCCCATACAGGTTATACACCATATACTCTTTCGTTGTTGGAGCTTTTTCTGTTCTCACATGGTTAATGCCGTCACTGTTGAGGTTGCTGATTGGTTTTATTACATGGTCAACTGCAGCATCATGTTTGGGCCAGACATTTGTGGCTATACCACCAAGAAAGTCCATGCTATTCTGACATACAGTGGGAAAAATAATTTGATCAAGAAGGATGTCCCATGTGAGACTGACCAACTGACCCATGTATATACTTTTATCCTCCGACCAGATGCCACTTACAGCATCCTCGTTGACAATGAAGAAAAGCAGTCTGGTAGCTTGTATTCGGATTGGGACTTACTCCCATCGAAGACGATCAAGGACCCTGAGGCGAAGAAGGTAACTGTTGCTCCAGATGATGTATCTTTTAGTACTTTATGTTCTGGTGATATACTTCCTACATGTTAATGACAGCCTGAAGATTGGGATGACAAGGAATACATCCCAGACCCTGAAGACAAGAAGCCTGAGGTAAATGAACTGTAATTTGTGTCTGCTGTATTCCAAAATGAATATTGCCAATAAAAGAACCACATGGTAACAAGGTGATAAAATTCATATATTTTCTGTTACTGCAGGGTTATGATGACATCCCAAAGGAGATTCCAGATCCTGAAGCCAAGAAGGTAATTAAAGCTAATTTCCATTTTCCCCTGCTAGTTAATCGATGTACTTATATAAGCTGCTTTTGCAACTACAGCCTGAAGACTGGGACGATGAGGAGGATGGTGAGTGGACTGCACCAACTATCCCCAACCCCGAGTACAAGGGACCATGGAAGCCAAAGGTTTGTGTAATCTCAATTTAGGTTTTTTGACATTATTAGTGAAATAGACTCTTATAACTAGCTTTTGCCATTTCCAGAAACTTAAGAACCCCAACTACAAGGGCAAGTGGAAGGCGCCAATGATTGACAACCCAGGTTCATCATCTTCTCTTTTCCGTGAGTGAGTGCATCATCACACTGGTGCCAGAAGTTTTAATGTTGGCTAATTTGATACTATCATGATCACAGATTTCAAGGACGACCCAGATCTCTATGTTTTCCCGAATTTGAAGTATGTCGGCATTGAGTTGTGGCAGGTAAAAGAAATGATTATCCTGTCCCGTGAATTTATTTATTTTTTAATAAAATTCATTAAAATATCCTAATAAGGAATGATATGAATTTTCAGGTGAAGTCTGGAACATTGTTCGACAATATTTTGATTTGTGATGACCCTGAATATGCTAAGAAGCTAGCTGAAGAGACATGGGGCAAGCAGAAGGATGTATGCGGCATCATTAATTTTTAAAATCATCTTCTCTTCTACATTTACTCATACTTTAGTTTTCCACGGGAGAAAATTTTACCTACCCATTGATGTGTGAACTATGTCGATTTTGCAGGCTGAGAAGTCTGCTTTTGACGAGGCAGAAAAGAAGAGAGAAGAAGAGGTAACTTAATCTCACTGGATAGCAGTCATTGAGTGGATTCTTTAATCTTTCTTTTAGTGAACACTGTTTTGTTTTCTATATAGGAAACAAAGGATGATCCAGTTGATTCTGATGTAAGCCTGACATCCTCTCTTCAAATAGTATAGTCTACACCTATCTTTATTTATATACTGATTATGGGGCCCTTTCTTTTCATAGGCCGAGGATGGAGATGATGATGCCGATGATGCTGAAGCTGATGATGTTGATGATGTTGCGGAACCAGACTCAAAGGAAGACCCTACCACCTCAGTGGATGATGATGTACATGTAATAACATCAATCTATGTTCATTTTGAATTCACAAGTAACCATTTGCTTGGCAATTCATCTAAGTCATTGAGTGGATTCTTTAATCTTTCTTTTAGTGAACACTGTTTTGTTTTCTATATAGGAAACAAAGGATGATCCAGTTGATTCTGATGTAAGCCTGACATCCTCTCTTCAAATAGTATAGTCTACACCTATCTTTATTTATATACTGATTATGGGGCCCTTTCTTTTCATAGGCCGAGGATGGAGATGATGATGCCGATGATGCTGAAGCTGATGATGTTGATGATGTTGCGGAACCAGACTCAAAGGAAGACCCTACCACCTCAGTGGATGATGATGTACATGTAATAACATCAATCTATGTTCATTTTGAATTCACAAGTAACCATTTGCTTGGCAATTCATCTAATTTCATGTCCCACTTTCTGCTTCTGTTCTGCAGGATGAATTGTAGGGCGTTCAACAACTAATTTTCTGCTGACAACGTGGCTTGGAAATTCTTCCTTCTCTACTTTTAGCTGTTCAGATGCAGTTTTTTCTTATTAGAGGAAAGAAACATTTGAAGGGCTGCATGATCAACACATGTGGCTGATTGCTTTGGTTTCATGTGACTTGCAATTAGAATTACAAGAGGATTTGTTTTATTTGTTCTGTTTTAGATTTTATCTTATAGCTTGAATCCACTTGTTTTGTTCTATCTAAATACCCAATTTCTTTAAGCTGAGTAACTCATGAATTTTTCACTTAAGCTTAGTGTTTGTTTGGGAGAAACTTTTTCCAAGTGGGAAAAAAAAAGTAAAGAAAAGTTTTATATTTTTGGGGTTAAAAATGATTTTGGGGAATAATATATAAAAAATCTCCTACAAACACGTCTTAATCTTAAATCAAACTCTTTTTCCTATTATATAAAAAGGAGAATGTGAAGTTACTGCAGAAATCAACGGTGACTTGTTTCATTTTGTCTCACTAGAGCATTTTTTTCTTTTTCTTTTATTTTTATTTAAATGGGAGAGCAAAAATGACGTCGTTTGTTTTTGCTTGATATATATATATATATTTTATTATACAGTAAAAAAGGCAATTTAAATTTACTCCAATACGCAACTTTCCATAACTCTCATCAGTTGGAATTATTAAAAATAAAAATACTAATAATGGGATAGAAAATATTTCTAAAATATAAAAAGTTACAAGTACAAATTTGAAGAGAAAGGAATTTTAAATTGAAAAAAAAAATTATTTATAGTGTAAAATACACACCCAAAAAAAAAAATTCTAAAATGTAAAAAGTTACAAGTAAAAATTTAAAGTGAAAGAAATTTGAAATTGAAATTAAAAAAAAATTTATTTATAATGTGGAAAAAAAAAAACTCCGCTTGTCGGAGGCAAAAGTCTCCGATCACGAAGGAACTTATTTTATTTTATTTTATTTACATTATAGATATTTTTTTTTCAATTTAAAATTCCTTTTAATTCTTTTCTTATGATAATAAAACTTAATTTTTCAATTTGAACTAAATAATATTTATATATTCTTTATTTAATTTTCGTAACTTTCTTTTATTTTATTATTATTATATATATTTTTTGAAAATTATTAAAATTTCTTTTTTATTCGTATTATAAATATTTTTTTCGATTTAAAATTCTTTTCGTTTAAAACGTAATTTTTTATAATCCTTATCCCTATCCCTACTATATAAAAAGGATACGTGGAGTTATTTCCTTGTCCCTACTATATAAAAAAGAAATGTGGAGTTGTTGTAGAAATCAATACTGACTTGTTCCATTTTGTCTCACTGTAGCGTTTTTAATTTTTTTTCAAGTGGGGCAGCAAAAACGACGTTATTTGTCTTAGTATATATTATATACAGTGTACCTCAAAATTTACTGCAACACGCAACTTTTCATACCTCCCTTCAATTTTATGTAAAAATTATTATTAATAATAATAATAAATTGCTATTGCTAGAGTTTAAAAAATTACTTATAGAAAAAAAAGTTATATAAATAAATTGTTGTGCTTACTTAGCCTAAAAAAAAAAAGAGGGAAAAAAATATATAAGCTCTTTGCCTTCGTGCACCGAGGCAAGACTCTTCGTGCACGGAGACTAAGAGGCTTTGTGCATCGAGCGTCTTAGGCTCCGTGCATGTCTCCATGCACGGATACATTTGTTTTCGTGCATGGAGGTCTTTGTATTTTTATTTTTTTTATGTTATAGATATAAATTTTGTTTCCAATTTTTTTCTTCATAGTAAAACTTGATTTTTCAATTTTAACTAGACAGTATTTATGTCATTTTTTATTTAATTTTCTTAACTTTCTTTTATTTTGTTTTTATTATATATTTTCACAAAAATGTTTCTTTTTCTCTTTTTATATCTCTTTTTATTTTTATATCTGGATTTTAATGTGTTATTGTTTCTTTTTTTATTACCTATTTCGTTCTTTTTGTTTGTGTATAAATTCATTTGTTTTTTCTGGTGCTTTTATTATTTGTGTATTGTTTTCCAGGTGCAGATTTTTGATGAATTTGTTGAGGTTCGGAAGTTCCAAACTTTGAAGTTGATGGAATTAGTATTATATTAATTGTCATGGATATATATAATGCATGTGGACATAAAGTAGATTAGCAGAAGCAAAAGTTACAACAAGTTAAAAGTTTTATAGATGTGTCAAACTTTCAGTGCAGTCTTTTTTTGTAAACATTGGGGGTTCATTTTTAATTAGTTGGAAGACGCATCTATCGCCCATTTGTAGTTCTTTTTCCGTAACAAAATTAGCCCAACCCATAATAAGACATCTTATTATGCCACTTGGTCTTAAATTTGTGGTAATGTCCCACTTGTGATGTAGAGAGTCGTGGATCTAAATGTTGCGCACAAATTTTGACAAGTACTGTCAGGCAAAACTTCCCGGTATACACTGCAATGGATGAAAAAAATTGAACTAAAAAATTATGTAGAATGGTTAAGATGGGATATATATATTAAAAATAAAAGATACAACTTACAATTTTTCGGTGGCTATTAAGACGAGGTGTTAGTATTATTTCAAATATGAGATTATTTGTAGTGTTTCCTTCTTAGCCTTCTTCATCAGAGTTGTATGTAACCTCTAGCTTAGAATGGTCAAATATAGTCATATTTAGTGTGAAATTACCTTTATATTCGAATACTAGAACATAATCATTCTGTAAATTTTGATGGTCGAAAAATTGTTCCCATCCATTGGCTAGGTATATTTTTCCATCGATTTTTTCTAATTTGATGGTGACAATTATGCCATCATATGCAGTTATTCCAGTAATTGACAAAAGATGTATGAAGCATCTATATTATATATACATATAAAAATAGTAAAAACATAAGCATGCGATAAAAGATATATTAAAATGTGAAAGAAGTATTATCCGGACGAATATTGTGATTCAAGGAAGGGGTGATGATTCTAAAGAAACTACGTGAGATATCCATTTTATGAGAAAATTATTGTTTGTTATGTGGAATATTTGAAGTATGAGTAAGTTGAATGAAAAAAAAATCTGGTGAAAAATGGAGGTATTTAAGCTAAAAAAAGTGTACTTTGCTTTTTGAATTAGATTTGATAAGAGATTCACAGGTGGTAGAATAGACAATTTTTTTACTGAAAAGACTATCTTCTTATTATTTCTAAAAACATTTGAAAAGAAAAAACAAAACAAAAAAATTTGTGGCCTCTGTGTATGGAGGTAAAGGCCTCCGTGCATGGAGTAGCCAAGCAAAAGCAACCGAAGTTTTTAGGTTGTTTCATTTCCCAAGATAAGAAAGCAATAGTCCCCCACTAATCAATTATCAATTTCTTCTGCCAAACAACATAATGCAAGAACAACGAGCCTGATTATCAAATTCATGCATAAACCTCATCGAATCAAATGAAACTGAAGACATCTATCTCAAATTACTTTATCTCGCCAAAAAAAATTAGATGATTTCTTACTAATATATACATGTTATATAACGTGAAAAAATAGATAATTAGATTTTTCCCTATTATATTTGTTTTTCTCATGATTACAAGTTATTCATTATGCATGCTTTCAACTTAACATTTTGCTAAATAAATAATTGACGTATAATGTCTATGCACACTTTGATAAATAGTTGAAGCATGGTAGTTTGTCTATGCATAGCTATAGATAGTTTATATTCCTCGAAGTTAGCATATAATAATAATTTTTTTTTTTTTTGCCTCGTCGGTATAATATATTTTATTAATTTTTCTGTTTTAAATTTGAGGATTTGCATATCTTGTAATTGACTTGCTTGCTTTCATAGTGATAATGGGTAGATGGACACCTACATTTCCCCAATTCCAAATTCTTGAATTTATATTTCATCAAGGCAACACAACTCCAAACAAATCAAAGATTGCATAGATAGTCTCTGAGTTGTAGTTATATGACCAAATTTGTGATAAGAATGTTTATAATTGGTTTAAGAGTAAACATGCTCGTTCAAGAATACCTTCCATACAAACATAAGATTCTGAAATTCAGCCAATGGTAAATGAAGACAAATTGCGTAAAAAGGTTTTAGGTATGATTATTTGTTGATTTTTTTCATTCCTTTTTCTACATAATTTTAACATACATATTTGCTACTCTGAAAGTCACTACAAGTTATGCACCAGAAAGGCGAACTAGGAGTCGTGAGTTTGAAACAGGTTTGGACTTTTTTTTATGTCCATTTACTTGTGTTTTTCCTTTTTTTTTTAGAACTATTTATGTTATATTTCATCAAACTTATTTTAATGTTTTTAGGTTCTATTGATATTGTGTTGAGTTATACAAGGATGAAAGCATTTGTCTTGAAAAAGACCCTGGAAATGAAATATCAGAACTTCCTAATATTTTACATGATTCTAAAAGGGTTGATTCCAAAGGAATAAATCTACTAGATATTCCGATCAAATCTTATATTCTTCCATCATGTACAATTTGTAAATATTGTGATGCAAAAAAGTTTCGGCTTTTGTTGTTGTGATAGAAAAGTTAGATTACAGTTAAATAATGTTCCTCCTGAATTGTTTGAGTTATTTACTTCTACTTCATGTGAGACAGTTGTTTTTTAAAAAGTTGCTCGTATTTATAACAATCATTTTGCTTTCACTTCTTTTGGTGTTAAATATCATAAAAGAATTGTGTACAAATAATAAAGGTATATATACATTTTGAGTTCGGAGATAGGTGTACCATTTTATAAATCCATTGTTACCAGTTGATGGGAAACCTGCATATTTACAGTTATACTTCTATGATACTGATAATGAAATCACTAACAGACTAAAAAATTCTGACAAGTTATGTGAAACAACTTTGAGAAAATTGATAGATATCTTAAAGATGAATCCATATTATCGATTTTTTCGATCATTAAGTGAAGTTTCTGATTTTGGTTTATGTCATATTGTGCTTAGGTGTGATCTAGGTCTTGACCAAAGACTGTATAATATGTCATCGTGTGAACAGGTGGCCGCAGTATGGGTTGATGAAGACCCATCTGCAAGCCTTTAATCGTGATGTATTAATTTATGGACATTCGAACACTGCACATAAAGTAAATTAATATTATGACTGCTATGATCCACTTCAATATCCATTAATATTTGCCTATAGAGAGCCTGGATGGCATGAAGTTATCCAAAAGGTCAGTTTGAATACTTCTTCACTGATCCATG